CTGGAGGCTGTAATTCAGTTGCTTTATGGCTCCCGCATGGCCATTCTTAGCAGCCCAGCAGTGGCGTTTGTCGTTATCTGGATTTTTAGAGTTGACGTCCCGCCGTCCGAGTAGTATTTTCACTACTCCCTCGCACTCGTTCTAAGCAGCACAAAAGAGTGAGCTGTGTGCGCCCGGTTTGTCGGGTTGGAGTCTTACCGTCCGAGCATCATAGTATTTTCGCCAATACTAGTACAGGGCGCCCGATACGAATAGCACGGCGGAGCGATATTCCGCCTGCGCATTTGGTATGCCCGGGCTGACGTCGCCCCTTGCCAGTGGGATTTCGCCGCTCCCCGGTGCCTGTTCCGAGCAGCACAATCGAGTGGTATTCGGTGGTAACTACCCGCATTGTCGGGGTTGACGTCGCCCCGTCTGAGTACTATTTCCACCACTCCCTTGTGCCCTCCCCAAGAAGCCCATACGAAGGGTGTATCGCCCGTACAGTCTTTTTGGTTGCCATCAGATCCATCCCCAAGTACAGAACCAACTACAATTCTAATAAATCCGAGCACAGATGTACAGTATAGACTAATGAGCAGCGAAAGCTTATCGAAATCAGCATCGTACCAGTACTGCTGCTGTGTTTTCAAAGGAGTTTTAGTGGATATGCGGTTATTGCAGTCGTCAAGTAACTTCAGCGCAAGCGATTTCGCGTAATCTGAGGGCTCCATTTTTGCATGTGTTCCCCAATATTTCGAAGAGTATTCGAGGAAGGGTGTGCCCTGGGGATCGGGGGAAGGACTAGCGGAAAGAACCTTGACCTGCTGGGAATTTAGATAACTGAGGCAGGTTTCTGCTATTGTGGAGTGAGTTGGTCCAAACAGCTCGGTATGGGCTCGAAAGTATCTCCGAAGGGTAAAGTGGATTACGCGCACCGTGGAGGTCTTCTCATCTACGGAAACAAGTCCTTGACAGCAGGCTAGCAATGTCCCTATTGAAGGAACATTGTCGGTATCGAGATTCGGCGACCCTATTTCGACCGCTAGGGCGTGACAGAGTTCCTCGGTCTTCAAGGGCCGCACCGAGTAAGATACCCACATCAAAGTGGCCATTCCAAGTCTCGCCTTCTCCCCACCCTGTCTCTTTATCCGATCCAGTGTTGCGCCATAAACATCCCCCCCGAAGCCGTCGGTCATTGTGCTGAGCTTTAGTCGCCTGCGATGGGTTGTGGTTTCTTGCAGGATCGCGTCGATATTCAGCGAAACAAGCAGAAATCTAGATATGTATGTCATATGTTAGTGGGTGACTCGAGGTAGCTTCCTAGGTGTTTTTGTCCCCACGTACATTTCAGAAGTATCTTCAGGAATTTTCTTCAGGATATCTTCCTCCAGATTACTATTCATCGCATCTGGGATTGTGTCCTCGTCCAGCCTGGTACGGAGATATCTGATAATATCGTCTCTCCTAGTAGTGATAGATACACACTTTACTACCCCAGAAAGGCGCTTCCAGATCTCAGGTCGAATGTGCGGCCTCCCGGTCACGAATATTCGGGTGCCGGGAGACTTCTTGAGAACTTGGTTCAGCGAATCTAGAATCTTGACTCGAGATCCTTCCACACATTCATCTAGAGCGTCGATGCATATTAATGTGCGCTTTTTGGAAGAAGTAGTCTGCAACATCTTCACAATATCGGAAAATCCCGGCTCCCGCCCACCAATGGCATTTTTTTGGTCTTGACATGCCCGCGATATCTCTTCTGGGATCTCCTCCAATCCCCCGACCAGCTGTTTCAAGAGGGCTCCCAGCATACCTGTGGCAGACTGCTCCCCCTGGGCGGCGAAGTCAAAATAAAAGCATGCTACGGTGGCATTTTGCCCCCTGGCCCGATCGCACAAACTGTCTATCACTAATGAGCTAGAATCGTCGCTTGTTAGCAATTTCCCTTTTTCTTTCATCTCTCAAGGTTCGTCCTATTACCTGATATAAGTCTTGCCCACCCACGGATCTCCGTAGCAAAACAAAACTGCGTTATCGGATTCACCTCCGCCACTTCCAGAATACCAGCTTCTAAATTCCTCAGTTGCCAAGAGCCATTCCCCCACGTTTTCGACCCGGCGATCCTGAATGTCCCGATGCCGTAACTTAGGCTCCAGTGGGGATAGCCAGGTAAGGATATTAGATCGGTCATCGGCGACTGTAATATTATTCGTCACGTTAACAGTTGTATTCCAAGAGTTTATGTTGTTGCTCAAAAGTTGTGCCATTTTCTCGGCTTTGCTGCTTGGGATACTGTGGATGATGGGGAATGGGGTCAGAAGGCTGATGGAATTCCTGGGGGCTGAAGAAAAGCGGGACCCTTTGTGGAACCTCTTGGACACCTCCGGGCCGTCCAATCAATCTCCGCCACATTTGCGCCGAAAACGCCTTGCCCATATGATAACTACCGGATCGGCACCGGGTATCACCACTTTAAGCGTTATCCTACCCTCATGACACTACCAAAGACGAACGAAAGCCGGTTTCTTTAAACCTAGCCAACAAAAGCCCGGATCCGCCCGCCAGCAGGATGAGCCTTCGCTCAATAGTGCTACGTGAACCTACGAGTAGTTGGTACAGTGGTTGCAAGGCTGTTTACCACGAGCAGTTCATCGATCCAATACGCGTTCCGAGCCAAAAACACATTGTGCGTATGATAGTCAGCGATGTTTGGCACGACGTCCTTTAAAAACTCGTCCCGGGAAAATTTCAAAAAAGGAGTTTACGCCAAAATCTAACAATGACATGCTTTTAAAGAACACAATAGCAGAAAGAAACATCTCAGAAACTAAAACCATGAAGTTGAACGATTGGCATCCCGCAATTTCCCGTACACGGGCCCGCGTAAAGATGTTTTATACCGACGAACCAACCTTGCCAAACGGTCTCTAAAGTCGTCGAGAACCGATCAACCCCGTGCGATCAGCAGGATCCTACGAGTTCAATTCACCCCATCTAGAATCATTATGAAATGGTCCCCCAGGTTAGTTGAGAGACTTGAGAAAACCTGCCCTATGGGCACAGGGAAACTGATGACATTGTTAGCTTTCGGCCTTCACCATGACCGTAGCGCAAATCAGACCTACTATAATATGAAGTGGTGGGATCCGACCCCAAACCATACATCAGGAGTGACGCCCACCTGAACGCTATACGGACTCTTTACCGCTAGAATGAATAAAACGGCCAAGGGGCATCCATTTACCCTCAAAACCAACTGCCAATTCACCATTAGTCTCCCTGTATATCTACAGTATATCCCCCCCCCCAAAAAAAAAGATTAAGTGCGAATAGCTACCACTATCAATATACAGGCCCATGAGATACTGTACCAGAATACAGTAATCGAAGTTTCAGCAACGCTTAGCTCCCGCCAGAACCCGTCTGAAATTTCCGATCACCCAACACAATACCAGAGTTAGAGCCGTGTAGAATATTGCACCCTTCGCCCTCAGAGCTAGAAGTAGATAAGACGCAACTCCTTTCCAATTACCCGCTCCACTCCTTCCAGCTCTCTCTACATAGAATCACGCTATTTTTTTAAAGTGATCCATGATACCAGCATCAACCAGGACCCAGATAGTATGACAGCAACTCTATCTGAGCCCGCATCCGCGATCACAGGAAATCACTCGCGCGACTGATCTTACAATATAACCTTGCTCTACCGGTATGGTGCTCGCAACGACCAATTCGAAAGCCGGATGCAATTCCCAGACGACGCAAATGACAATAGAGAAATGATGACAAAAGAAATGTTTTTCTACCCGAGTCAATCAGCCTACGGCTGTGTATATGTGACTATGTTGGGATAGGCATCCTAAATATCGGACCCCCCAACACCCACCCAAGCACGAGGTATCCCGACGCTAGCAAGCAGCCAGAGAAATATATAAAGCCCATTCATTGAGGATGTGTTTGCTCTTGGTACTCACTGTAGGACTGCTGCACTACCCTCAATTCCTCCTTACCAGCCAGAGCCCAGCTAAGTTAACTCCCAGATACTAACAAAGTTAAAGAATGGCCAGAAAAGTAACATGAGTTCCTATACCCGCATACTTCAGCCCCTCGCCCCTACCCCCCGGAGGACTCCAGCATGCGCAGATCACCAGACACAAGTCTACGAGGTATAATACCTCCTAGAAATTTACAATCCATCACTCATCAGGACGTGAGCCCCCCCCCCCTCTTCCCCCTCGTTCAGCGATCAGTGGTTTTTCCCAGGAACCGAATGTTACATCCTCTGCACCCCGGATGGGCGCCCCGACTCCTCACCCTCCCTCCCAAAACCAAATTTCCATCAACTTTTGTAAAATATAGAAATGAGTCCCCGAGAAGACAGGCCATCCCCCAACACTCTCCCCAATCTCCAGAAAGTTGAGTTGGCCGCCAGTGACGACTTCCATCCACACCTCCACGATAGCAGGATATCCGATTTATCCTGAGGGTCTACCCCTTATTTTCCGCCGCGAAGGCGACGAGAAGTATATTCCATACCCTAGCCTAATCGACCACTCCAATTCTCAGTCTGATACCACATCGTCCACTGGACAAGTTTCGAACGTCCGGATGCTTCATCCTGCTCTCAGGTGTTGCCCGGGCCGCAAGCGGCTCACTAAGGGTTAAAAATAAATAAAAAAGGAGGGAAGATGCACTTGATGGCCTAATTTCTACCTCTGTGGGTTCAATCAATACCTGGTATTTCTGCAACTGATGTTGGGTTTATATCCCCCTCCCTGATGCTACGGAAGGACGGCGCACACCTTCTTGGGCTAAAGTTTCACACAAGTCATCTATTTGTCATCCATTCATGATTAAGAAAGTGGAAAATACGGGGATAGGAGATTTCCGGGTGATTGGCTTCGAATATGAAGTGCGATCGCACCGTGCAGAGTCCGATAGGTGCACATGCCCTGTAATACGCGCATTGGAATTCCTGAGCCACAAAGCAGCCAAACGTCCAGGGGAAAGAAACATAGCCAGGTGAAGTCAATTACTATATTACCCCCCAGAGCATATCCTTATTGCTCGAAGCTAGGCTAAAAAATAAAAAAGTTACCCCCTATTCCATCAAGATCTTACAAACCCCCCCCCAAAAAAACAGAAGCTCCAACAATCACTTCCCCCCCACAGCCATGGCTTCACTAGTATCTACTTCCTTCCCCTTCCCCTTATCCAACACCCCCTCCGCCTCCTTAACAGGGTCCTTCAACCCCCGTCCGCGCACAGAGCTTAAAACACTCCTAGAAAAGCTTCCGGAAACAGTATGTGCCTCAGTGTCAAATAGCGAATTGATGATCGCTAGCGCTAGGATGAACAGGTATACATCACCATTTCTATACCCCACAATTAGTCACTCGGACAATGGAGAGGGGAGGAGAACGCACTTGACGCCCTTAACATAACCCTTCTTAACAAGCACCTTCCAGGCACTAACCAACCCAGCCCTAAAAATGTACAAAAAATTTCCGCGACCACCCCTAGAATCCACAATCGCCCATAACCCGCCAATGAACCCGCCAAGCCAGTACCGTCCTTTTGGAAGCAAGTGCCTGGGTAAAAGTTTTTGAAACAAGCAGGCCATGCCCCAGGAGGTTCCCACCGATCCCGTGGTGAACACGGTAGTCAGGAGGGTAGACTTTGAGAGCTTCCCGAGCGTGTCTACCGGGTTGCGTAGGAAGGCTTTGTAGCGGGGGAGCCAGGATATGGCATAGACCACTGACATGAACTTCGCTACAGAGGTAAACTCCGAGGCCCAAAATGCTAGATATGTTTTTAGGCAGCTAGGTTCATGCGGGTGCAGGAGGGCACATTGGAGGGAGGTTATCGTAGGATGAGCGGGGGAGACAATTGGGGAGACCCGCTGGAGGGATTTTGGGAGGGGATTCGCGTCGGGATATAGGATTGCGGAGTTGAAGGGGCTAGAGGTGGAGGGTTAGTGATTTGACGTGAGTGATGGGAGGGTAGAACAAAACATACGGATAATTTAGCCCTGCAATCTTCCCTAAGCCGTCCACGATATCATACGTTCCCGGCCATTGCAAATGGCCCGGATAGCCTACCGGCCGAGCTTGGACATACTCCTTCGAATACCCCATGATGAAACTCCCATACTCAGACGGGAAACAATCTCTATCGAAAACGAAAGCGTAAAGCAACTGCCCCGAAGCAATTGGGAACAGCATCCACGACCCAAACCACTACCCTCGCCAATTCATCAGCGCCACACACACCAGAAAAAACTTAGGGGAAAGTACCCAAGGCTTATTCTGAAACCACCCTTCATCCTCCAACCTATTGTAACAAAACTCCAACGCCTTCACAAAAGCCCAGGTAGAAACGGTGGCCCTCCTATCCCCCACAGGATGGATCAACAATGCCAACCCCGCCAACGCTGCCCCAATCGACGGCGAGAGCCTCGATAAGAAAAGCTTTGCAACCCTCGGGTGTCTCAGCCGAAACGTACGTGCCTGCGGAAGCAACAAATTCTCCCGAAGACTGAAGAAAAACTTATAGAGTAACCGGTGAGTAACAACCAGTGTGCTCAACGACAGCGAGAAGAGGAAATTCGGACTCTTGAACAGCGCCGCCCCGGTCACCGTCTCTATCGCTTTCTTCGCTATATCATTGCTACCACCCTTCCGCCGTCCCCTGGCCGATCGCCCCACGACAACATCCCACGAATTCAGTGCCACGTTACTCAACAGGAAAACCCGAAGGCCAGCTCTGCTTGCCGCAGGAAGGTAGTCGTCCCGCCCCGGCTCATAGCATACTGCATCGAACTGGTTCTTGGATGGCGTCACGGCGCGAAGACCCACCGGGCCTTTGAGTAGTATGCGACGGCGGAGAACCGCGTATTCCTTTGGGGAGACGGCGTATCGGAGTGCGAGGATCAATAGACGACGGGGATTCGAGACTTCCGAGGGCGGCTTGGCCCGCCCGGATGCGGGATCCATGGAGGCGGTGATTGTCCGCGATTGTTGTTCTCGCTGATAGTTAGGCTTAGTAGGGAGGAGAGAAGGGAGGTGGAGGGGGATGGATGGTTTAGAATAGAAACGGGGTTTTCATATTAGACAGTAATATGATATTGACCCGGAGCACGGTTGGGGTGATCGATGGGGGATGCTGTGTGACGTGAATGAAGAGTGTGTGAAGGAATAGATCGGGGGCAGCGAATAAGCTTCTGAGGTTACCTCGGTTGTGTCACGTGGAATTACCCGAAATTAAAGTTGGCTTGAAGTCTCTTCAGCTTTCGTAATATAATGCTAGCTATAGCATTGCAGTTGACCATTCCTCGAGCTACGGCACCGGTATGATACTATACATAAATACCACGGGTACTAAAAGTTAAAAATAAAATAAAAAAAGACAACCCTCACCACCTTTCAGTAACGAGTCAAACACGGTAACTCGCATTAGTTTACTTAACGGTCTCATCCAACAATATCCCAACATTTTCATCAACACGATTGAGTACGGTATTCCAAGGTAACCTAAAGTACCGGTACCGGTAATGAATGTAAGAGTAAGATACGGTGAAACAGTTATTACAGACATCAAAAATCCCGCAATCCATCAACAGAAACCCACATTAACTAAAGTGATTTTAAGTGGGGATGATGGATAATTACGATTATTCTCTGACACCTTCTTCCAGCTCTTCTCCCTCCCCCGTCCCATCTTCCCCAATTTTCCTTTTGCTCCATGTAACTTATGCCCTTTGCTCAAAATCCCGAGTTCCCTCAAAATTCCGTCTGGTGCCCGTTAAGGTCCTCTTCGACCGTGGTCCCAACCTGAAAATTTCCTTGGGAGTTGCGCTAGATTTCGTTGTTGTGCTAAGTTAGGCAATAAAATTCTCACCTTTCTAGCAGAATATTCGACAAGGTATGATAGCCAGAGGTAAAGTAAAGTGTGCAGGCCGCAGCAGACCACATCCCAAAGCTAAGCAACCCTTAGCAGAGATAGTAGATACTTAGCTTTGCTATAGGTCCTAAGCTCTTAGTTTTTTGGTGTAATGTTCTGTTACCAGAATTTGGTGGTTATTATGAGCCTCTTGGCAGCCATAGCGAAGTAAACTAAAGAAAGTATCGGCTCTCCCAACTTTTCTAACCCTGGAAAGACCTGGTGTACCGGTACTGCATAGCACCACCAGCGCAGCGCACGTATTATACAATGCACAGTTTCCGCAAAAATCATCGAAACCCGCCACGATAAATAAACGAGAGAGAAAGAGAGAGCGAGAGAGAATGGAGTGATCCACGATTCTATTAAAACGTATACCGGAACAAATAAAAACGCTGTGGGCGACCGGTCAACCATAATCACCGTAAGTGGTAAAACGAAGTAAAAAACGGTCAAACCCATACACCCCCATAAGCAGCATACCATGTCAACCTATCAATACAGTTACAATTCGACACAACACAATAGACCCACCCTATCAGCGGGACTTCCAACAAAAAAAAAAGGAAGAAAAAGTAGAAAACAAGCGCCCCCAAAAACGCCGTGGTATCATTACCCCTATACACTTTACGTCAAGTACGCCGGAATACCATACACAACCGGCGCTGCCCCATTTAGATACTTCAACACGCATGATTCCCTTCCTTTCGCTACCGCCTCGACCAACGATGCATTTGGTGCCTCAAACTCTCTCCCTTGCTTAGATTTGCCCCGCCCACTAAATAGCCCCCACCTACTGAAGACGTCCTTAGAGAACCTATCGATGTCCTTATCTGTGACGTCCCAGAGGGTAGCCACCATGGATGGGCAGCCTCCGAGCAAGTAATTGACCGGCATTCCGTATGGTTCGAACTCGCCTGTGTCTTTCAATGCTCCACTGCTACAGCCGAGGAGTAAGGCGATACCGCACTTGTCCAACTTTTTGAGCGTACGAGCGCGGATGAAATGGGCACCGCTTCCGTGACCAAAGTATAGCAATATCTCACGCTCCTCCAGGTTGCGCCGAAACTCCTCTTCAGAAGGAGGTCTGTTGATAATTCCTTCCCAGGTTTTCAGAGTTCTGAGATCCTCTTCAAAGGCTTTTTGGGTGTTGACCAAATCGGAACTTGGGTTAAGGATATAAGCTCCACGGGTCTTATCAGCGTAGAATCCGGGCTGTGCCTGTTGAGCCGGACTCTTCTCCTGCATCATGAGGATTCTGTCCCGGAGGGAGGCCAATGATGGAAGCCTGGATACCGAGTGGCCCCGAAGACAGGGGAGAGATTCCCACGGGAACATGTGGACCGATTTATCAAGAATAAGAATCGTGTGGTCGACGTCGCTCGCTACCTCACCCGGGTGAAACGACACCCCTTTGTGATATGCCGCCAAGGCCTCCGTGAACTCCAAAACCATAACATCGAAATCCACTTCATCGTAGGCATTGCCCTCTCCGTGAAACTGTAGAATATCAACCACAAAATAGATCAAGTCGACAAGAGCTTCATCCAAGTCCTGCTCGTCCGGTCGCCCGAGGCCGATGAAGAGTTCTAATATCCGATAATCGATATTGACCCTCTTTGCCCTCTTGTTCTGTCGGGAAGGTAGGTGTTTCGCAAGGATTTTGTCAAAAGCAGATTTGAACTTCGCCATGTATTCCTTGTGCAGAGCGTACTGGCAAAATATACCCTTGAAGCCACCCAGCCAGTGATACTCAATCACGCTCAGAAGATCTTTGAGTTGGGTGTCGAGTGATTCTCGCTGGCTCCACCATTCACCCCTTGCGCCTTTGCTAGTCATATCTTTCGCGTTATGAGCGCTAACGTTGGCACCAGTGACGATCTCATTGAGCTCCTGAAGCATTGATTCGTATTCCCATCGGTCCTCATAGTCGTCACGGGAATTATGCCGTGTAAGCGGAAGGCGAACCATAAGCTGGCTCTGGCCGGCCTGGAACCGCGAGAGATAAAGCTCTTCGCGGCTCTCGCTGAGCGAAACGGATACGGCTGCCCATTTTTTAGGTATGATGTCGACGTAGTCACTCTGAAAATTGGAAAACTCGAAAGGCGTCGAGTCTGCCAGCAGTGATTTCGAGGCATCAGAAACAGATCCTACTCTTGGCCAGCTCAAGTCCTCCGAGATACGACTGACTGCCTTCTCCGTCTCGATCGCAGCTTTCTCTCTCTGCAACGAAATTCCCTTGTGAAGTTCTAACAAGCTATTAGCAGCCGCCAATGGCTAGTGCACAAGGAAGAATCTTACCAAGAGAATAGCTCGCAAACAATGGATGCTCGGGCCCTTTGCCTTTAGAATTAGTTACCGCGGATAGTAGGACGATAATTTGACTGAGCGACGAGGCTACACTATGAGTTATCGTTGAGGACCCCATTTTAACAGCTCGAGTGTGAACATTGGCGACAGCATCTCTCGCTCTAGTCAGGATTTCAACAAACTTTTTCGTTTGTTTCGCTGCGGCCGCCGCGCCTTTCCTAGTAGATTTTTTAACGGGACTTGACTCCCCCGCTCTAGGAGCAACACTAGGGAGAGAGATTGTGGACTCGTGTAGGACGCTAAACACGGGATCAGAACCCACAAGTGAGAGCGCCTCTTGAAGCAGATGCTTGGCTTCAGTTAACCCATGTATCACCATTTCCTGGTGCCCGACGGGCAGCTTGGATGCCTCCCGAAGTAAAAACTCGGCCTGTTCGCACTGCCTCTGCATCGTGAGATTATGTGCCTTAAGACGGAGTATATTCCCCTTCTGTTTAAGCAATACAGAGCATTCCGCTGCAACCTCACTGGCAACCACAGGGACAGGGACAGCTTCGGGGGCTTTGGTGACTTTCAATGCTTTTGCCGTTTTAAGTTTTGCTGTCGGCGGCCTCCCTCGACGCTTTGGTTCAGGTTTTGATTGAGGTTCTTCCCGCAGTTCCAAAATGGCGACCTTCTCTGCTAAGTCATCACTGCCACCCGTGAACGCACCGAGCTTTTCGATATATTTAACCGACATAAGGTTTTCGAGCTGTTTCTCTGCCCGCTCATAAGCCCTTCCCTCCCCCGCGAAATCCCCTCGAAGCCGATCCAAGTTCCCACTTGCTACTTCAAATTCCAAGGCCTCCCTGCCCCCGCCTATCGACTTACCGGCCCTCTGTAGCATCTCCTCGCCCTCATCTACATAGCCAGATCTTATACGTAAATCCCCGTACATTGTCATCGCTAAATTAATTCTCGAGGGCGCGTTAACAGCTTCAACTGTCTTAAGTGCTTGCTCGAGGTAGAACTCCGCCTCCCGTACCATGCCTTGATGTCGATAAATATTAGATGTTTGTAATAATCCAGCATACAGCGAGGAAACCAGAGGCCATAGCAGAGGGACATTGAGAGCCTCGAATGTTGTTGATTGTACCTTTGGTTGCGGGTGGTCGGAGGTGTTTAGTTTTGCCATGCTGTCGACGAGATTATCTCTGCTTAAACTCTCAAGCCCAGCCCACGCACGCTGGTTAAGCCGTACACATCGTCTGGCATGTGCCAGTGCATCACTGGGGTTCCCCTAAACAATCACACCAGTTAATAAGGTACTCAAATAATACCCATAGAATAGCACCTGCCTTCTCGAAAGTAAGCAAGCTCATCGCATAGGCGGCATCTGCGATGATACGATTTATCTTCACTCGCTTTGCAATACGGGCGCCCGACATCCTAGCATTGGTGAGGTCTTGGTCCTCTTCAAGAATGTTGCTAGCAGCCTCAAGGCACTCTTCCGCTCTTTCGAGGTTCCCTATATTAACGAGGTATTCGGTGTACGCTATGTGCCATTGAAGTATTGTAACCGTCGATACATTAGCCCGATCCTTCTTCATTAGTGCCTGGGCCTTAGCCATGGTCATCCCGGATCTGCCGGAATATCCAAGTCGAAGATATTGCAGCCCCATCATGGTTTCGAGACGAACAAGCGCATCATAATCCGCCTGTTTCTCGATCTCCCGCAACAAGACCAAGACCTTCAAAACACACATTTTTAGGTCCGCTTCGCCCCTCATCTCGGAAAACTCAGCAAGCATATCAAGCGTCTTCATAATAACGCCAACGTCCTCCACCTTTTCAAGAAGCATATCCCATGTCGAACATCCCTTCACAAGCGCACCCCAAGCCCCAACAGCCTTCTTGACCGACTCCACCTCAGCTTCCCCATTAATCCATTTCAAAAATGCCAAACTAACCAGACAGCCTGTGATTATGTCTTCTTTGTATCTCACCAAGCCTTCGTCTTCTCCCAAGGATGGTTCTGGCGTTTCTGTAGACCAGGCAGTAACTTCACCGCCAATAGCCTTGACTTCTCCAATGTTGAAAATCTCCGGATGGTCCATAGCTAGGCCCAAAATTCTCGATACCACCCGAGCCCTCCGTAGTGGCATTGTTTCCAGGGGGTATACCTCAAGTAATCTCTCTGCGAGCACGCGCACGACAACCCCATCATTAGCCATCACACCAACGGCCAACTTCAGCGACCATTCAAGAAGCATCCCTCGCGCAACTGTTGTAATTTTCTCGTCGTCAAACCGGAGCGCAGCCACTTCAGCGCTCTTCCTTTGTGATGCACATTTGATAAGACTCGCCAAAACCCGTCCAACCATAGCCTCCTGGGTATGCGCCTCAAATTCGCGACCAACACGACCGCCCCGTGAGGCACAAATACCTAGCTCCTTAATTATGCCAGTATCAACGAAAACTCCCACGGCCTTCAAAAAAGCCTCCTCAGCCTTTCTCCAATCCCCCATTGACATAAACGAGCTTCCTAAGCGTTCCCATTTTAAGGCAATATTGGCTTTGGCGAGTTGGGCAGGCGGCCTTCCATCCAAAACTGAAATGCTACGCCTCAAAGCTCGAATGCCCTCCTTATCCATACCAGCCTTCCGATAGAGTAAATGAATCTGCCAATAAGTACTTGAAAATTTCTCGTAAAGTATAGCATCACCGAGGGCCTCCAGATCAGATTCCGTCAACGATCGAATAAGAGCCAATGAATCCCTCATCAGCTCTTCTAATCCTTCCCAGTGGGTACAAGATTCAACATCGAATCCTCTCCAAGCAGTCGATACGGACGTATCGATAGCAGAGATGGCAAGTTTTATAGCTCTTGTTCGTTCCTCGCCCTGGCTTCCCATAGCCAGATACTTTCGACAGAATCCGACAACACCTCGAGTAATCATACTACAAACAGCCCGAAGCTCCAGCCTCATAGTTCTTGTTTCACTCCTCTTGAGCTCCGCAAATCCTTGGCTTTCATCTTTGAGAAGAGCGGCAAGCAAGCTAACGCCGCTCTTCCTCAAAGACCCGGCCTCAACGAGCAATTGGTCGAGATCTGATCTTCTGCCTTTTGAAATCTTCTCGAGCCCTTCGACAGCAGTGTTCACCCGGTCCTTTATCCGCTGAACCCCCGAGCCTTCTATTAGCAGCTCCCCATCCTCTATAACTGTGGAAATCTTTAGCTCAGCAGTTGCCATCCTGACCCTGCCCACTAGCCCCAATGCAGCATCGCTCTGGGCATCCGACTTTTCCAGTTCCTGAACCCAGGCCCTTGTCAACTCGATTGATTGAGCCATCAGTCCTGCGTCGAACGATAAGCCAGAAAGGATCCTCGTAATCTCGAGAGGGTAGGAGTATGATGCGCTCTCGACCCTCAGGAACCTCTTCACGGCATCCGCCAAATCCTGAACGATGCCGTATCTTTCTCGCTTATTGCTACAGTCCTGTGTGCGTCTAACAAAGGCCGAAACGTATCTCCGCCAAGACTCCCAATGCTCCTCTCTCTCCTTATCTGTTATTTCCGTGAATTTGAGCTGAAAAGTCACCTTCACGACACTACATTGTAAGGCTTTAGTCTGTAGAGCTAAGGCGGTTCTGGGGGAGCAGGAGAGCTTAGCATTAGTCGCTACGGCATCGGTAGAGGTGGATATAGATGGTGCCATGGAAACCAGTGTATAATGAAGAACACTCAAATGCGCGAGAGCTTTCTGAGGAGAGATTTTGGACAAAGCACGGATAACGTTGAGCGGATTATGCGCTGTAGAAGAAGAGAGTGTTGGCAAAATAGCCTGGTATATCAATTTTCAGTTAGTGAAAAAATGGACGATGTAAAACGAAGCTCACAACTAACCTCTATCAGCTCTGGCCTTTTTAATCCAGCGATACATCGTAATATTCCCAACTGACAAGATATAACCAAGGGGAATGCAGGATTCGTAGTGACCACATTGTTGAAATCCAATAGTTTATCGACAGGTTCCTTCTCAATCTTCGGGATATTCCCGCGCAAATTTCCCTTTCCAGCCAGTACCAGCGCCGGTGCCGACTTGTCCTGTCTTCCACTCCCCATTGCCTCCGCCAATGTCCGCTTTAAACTTCGTGACTCTTTCAATCCCAATTCGAACATACCCAACTGTATTAGCTTAAGAATAAGGCTACTCTGGGCATTCTCGATCTGCAGTGGCGCAATGCCCGGTGCATTCGAAGACCCAGATATTGAATTCAGGTACGAAATGGCCAGCGAACAACACGCTGCGAGGTTCTCAGTTGTGTCGGGTTTAAGAGACGTAGGCGAACCATTCCGATTTGACGAACGAGAATGCAAAGTTCCAGCAGTCGAAGTCTGTTGCTGTTTCTCTGGTTTTTGAACCGGCTGATTCCCCTCGTGGACTTCCACTACCGCAGGTTTGGGGGCCTTCCTCACAGCTTCACCAAGGTTCCGTAGACTCGTATTGATAACTTCAATAGCCAATTTGTATCGATCTGCAGTCTTAGTTACCAACATTACCGCAGCTGAAGCACTCCCTGCTGCCGCCGCCATCTTTTGAGGTCTTGAGTTCGTCCGTGAGTGTTTAGCTTTCGTAGACACTTTTACGGTTGCGGCAAGCATAGACGACACGGGAGCGAACAGAGCCTCGCTCAGTAACCTAACAGTTGAGGCCGGACATGATTCGACACCTAGAGATTGTTTGATCTCATCGTACGGATTCGAGGTAACGGCCACCTTGGAGGACATGGTGGTCCAATCGATGCACTAGGGGGTGCGGAAAGTTAAAGGTTGAAAAGCGGTCCAGTTTGCTCAGTGAGATGCTGCCGCGTCCCGAGGGTGAAGGGAATAGTTGCGAGTTAAGCAAATGGAAAGATCTGTGAAGTTGAAGACTTAAAACTGTAGGGATGGTTCAACCAGAGTGAAGAAAAACAGATGCCCTAACATGGCAGCGGTAGTGAGTGTTCATGTTGCCCTGTTTGTGATAAATCCCACCAGTGGTTGCTATGGAAACGTAGATCACCCAGTCACGCACAGTTTGACTTCAGGTGTGCAACAGGACTCGCCTGCCAAGGACAGGGGAAAGGAGCAAATTAACTTAGGTCAGGAACGAAAAAGCAGCCTTCTGACAGTTACCCTACTGTAATGCCAAATCATGGAAAATCACCCGGATTCCCTTTGCTCACTACATCTCCCAAAGTATCGACTCCACCCACCACTCCGTTTCCTAGCCATATTACGAAGGATCATCGTGCCCCCAAGATCAAGACGTAAGACTCAATACATAAGACACTCAATCTCATCAGAAATTCTTATAACCCACGCACCTTTGCATCCCAAGCCACCCCTTACTTCCTGAGGAACGAATGCGGGCAGGCACGGGACAGGGCACCCGACTCCTCTATGTCGCGATCACCTCCACTCCCCTACAGGTACACCGCTGACAGGTGGCTTTCCGGGAATTTAGACCGTGCGAGCCCTCAGCGAGGCGGCTCCCTCAACGAGGCGCAAAGGGTTCAAAGTCGCTTTATTGTGACAAAAAGCAGTATTTTAGGTGGTAGACAACGCCGCGCCTCGCTGAGGGTGCCGTCTCGCTGAGAGCTCATACGGTCTATCACTCCGCTGAAACCTAGATTTACGAGTACCCAACTGTGCCTACTAAGTTTTGCGCCACGCGAGCCCATCCGGGTTAGAGTTATTTTTTGCTGTGGCGACATGGCGTTAGATAGGGTCCAGCTGTTTCGTAGCAAGGGTAGAGTGGTCGCATGGACATGCCTCCGTCTCTGGTGTAACGGGTTGATCATCATCATCATTACAATCGCTATGCATCGTGTAGATTATCGGCCCCTGGCCCTTCCAAGAGGTGCAGCAATAACACTAGCGGAGTTGGTGATTATGAGATGGGAAACGTTGGCCCGAGGACTGGGTTTACTGGTATGCCACATACAGCATAAGTGCAAGAAGGTATTACTTGTTGGAAATAGGTTCCCTCTAACTGATTGAGGGGGTTTCTGAGCCTACCTCTACTTTCTGTGTACTATACTCGAGGACAGAACCAACACGCCGTGTAATACCGCCGGGTGTTACCGTAGAGGGGAGAGCAGTTGCCGTATCTGAATGGCGGAGTTTCCTGGGCTGTAAGGTTTCTACAGGGCCCGCAAAACAATGGGCATGGATGATACCCCATTTATTTTTGTCTTTTTTATCCATCACCCCTTCGAGCGCTCAAACGTATAGCTTCTTGGCCACTCGCTTTTTGTTATTATTTGGTTTCATTTCACCGACTCGGAGAAGGCGTTTAAAGGTTGGCGCTCCTTCCTTACTGGTTGAAAACAAGCTTACTCGTAGAGCCATGGTTGTCGATGAGCTTGGAACCCTAACCCTGCGCTCATTCGGGGTTGTGGTGCATGTCGGCACGTACGAGTACTCGTACTGTACTGTACTCGTACAATGCGGGTAGGGTACTGGAGCTGCCGCTTGGACCCTTGGATGGCGACTATCCACACCCTCCAGAGATGGTCCTACCGGTGTCTGGCAGTTTTTTTTTTTATCAACTGGTGCGTTGAACAGTCTCTTGGGACCCTACCGATTCATCCGTAGGGTATTGTGCTTGCAAACTGGTCAGGTACAGTACGTTGAGAGTCAAGGGAGACAAGCGATCGCTGACCCTTGATGAGGCCCCTCAAACGGGGGCTATCTCCATGGTTTTTCTGGAAGGAAGAGTGTCGCCCGACTGGAGTGTTGTAACCGTGCCTATGAATTCTTCTGCGTCCTAATCTGGCTCACCTTCCATTCGCACCTGCGTACCGTACGTCTCAAACGCTTTCCTACGCCCCTTCGCTCGAAGCACGCGCAACCTTCCCCCCCCTGGCCAGTACGAGGGCGAGGCTTCTTGATCTGCCACCCTCATTTCCGCCGCCTCGATACATTTTGTCTATTCCCCACCTACGGTACCATGAGTTCACCGGCTCCGAACAATGCGGCTTCCGTTCGGACAGCCTCCGGCAGCGCCGATACATGGCACACAAAGGTCAGCGCGAGAAGTAGTAGAAGCTCTAGGGAAGAACACAACCAGCTGCATGTTGAGTACATACTGGTTGCCGAATTCTCGATCGATAAGGGTCCAACCATGGAGCATCAATATCCGAACGCTATAAGCGGAGACGAGCAGTGAGTTTTTACCCGCCTTCCCTACCAACCCTTCCAATACATATGATACATGCCGCTCCAATCGCCACTATCTCCAAGTCTCCCACTTATCTCCTCATTGTATCGGAGAAAGAAAAGAAAAGAAAAGTGGGGGGGTTGTTGTTGCATGACCTCATCTGTGACAATCAATTCAACTTGATTCAGGAATTAATTGGATGCGCAAAACGGAGAGTTCTCGCGTGCTGACTGTGTGAGAAAGCATGTTGGCCGAGCTCATGCTGCCTGATCAAGCTCATGTTCGCTTTCAAGACTGGACGATATTTTTTCTGCATAAAGATGCTGAACAGAATGAAGATCAAATGGACCCTACAGGCCATGCACCGTTGATCTATGTGCTCAATTTGGTGAATACAAAACATGACAAAGAAGCGAAGCGGTATGTTTCCTATTTTTTTCTATGCCATTTGGTGGACACCACAAGCTTACAGATAATGCTTGGTTCAATAGAGGCGCAAAGGTGAAAGCTATGGCTATCTGCACACGCCATTCGTTCCTGCATATTTACAAGGTGATTATAATAAAGAAATTGCATATCTAGCGATAATCATTAACAATATGTTCACTAGCCAATTCTTTTACTTGCGCTCGAAGAGTACTTCAAATCACCAACTCTTGACACTCTGGCCGAGCTCTTTACTGCTGTAAATAGTATGGACCTTTCGCCAATGCCACGTTTGTCAATATTCGAGCGTCAAGTCCTTGCTGCAAGTGATAAGAAAGAAATGTTTTCTGAAAAATTTGACGAAATGGCAATGGTCTCACCAAATGCTGCGAATCATCAAATAAGGTCCCCATCAGCCGCGGGCATGATTACGGCTAGTGATCAGGATGGCGATTTAAGGCCGACTACATATATCGATCTGGCTCCTGGGAGAAACAAGGTTGTGAACGGAAAGATCACTATTAATCGCGATAGCCATGAGTTTGAAACAAAAGTTGTTTATAACGGCATACCCGTGCCTATAAGGGTTCCGGTAGCTGTTTTACCAGAGACCGTTGGTGATGTAAGAGGGTCCTTTCTCCTACCCTTAACCACTGATCATTCATGTGTGGTTTGAATTGACCTCTCCAAGTTCTCGTTGATACAACTCATTACCACCTTTTCGAATCCTCACTCCCACAACCCCCAGCCATTCGCGCTTCACCCACATCTCACAACGAATGGTCCATACACACATCCCATAATGGTACTGGTCAACGGACTGCTCACACAAAAGAGGATTGTGTTCCTTAGTCATGGTCGCCCTTCCGGTGATGTTGCGGATCATGTACTTGCCGCGTGTGCATTGGCATCGGGAGGAGTTCTTCGAGGATTCACGCGTCATGCTTTTCCTTATACTGACCTCTCCAAAGTCGATGAACTGCTTCAGGTTCCTGGTTTCATTGCTGGTGTTACCAATCCGACGTTTGCGAACCATCCTGGTTGGTGGGATATTTTGTGCAATATTGATACTGGTCGGGTGAAAATTTCTCCAGAAATTAAAATGTCAGGGCAGTCTGACGGCGCTACTATCTTTGGGAGTATGACCAACATGCAGGGGAATATTGACACTGGTGACAATCAATTTATGGACGATATTTTGCATTGCATCTCGTCGAGGTTTGGCGAAAAGGCTGTGAGGGCCAGATGGAGGGATTGGGTTGTGAGATTCACACGGATGGCCGCTGCATTCGAGGAGATGGTTTACGGAGCCAGCGCTCTATGGATCGGTCATGAAGAAAATCATGTCGTCCGTGGCCATGGATTCGTTTGGCCTGATGAGCAAACCAAGATTAGAGATTTAACTGCCAACATGGCCAGGATCGAAGGGTGGCGAGGAAGCCGCAGTTACCACGCCTACGCTCAGGTGAGCTTCTGTCAACCCGCCTTTATCTGAATATATGGCACCTTCTAACTGGCGAGACTTGGAAGGATGTTCAACAATTCTATATGGCAAAACCAATCAAAATTCTGGATTTGCACCACCATATGGATCGACTAAGAACCCTGAGGATGTCTCACGAGGACTCAGGGAAAATATATACTGCGTTGAAAGATTATGTGGTCGAATATGAAGAAATTAATCAGGTAAACTCCGCTCCAAAAAGTTCAATTGAAAAAGTGTCTGACATCATTAGCTGCTTTGCGTGATTCCTGAGAACCAGGGCGGACTGTTTCCTGTCGCGGTGGGTCTATTCCATCCGGTCCAGAAAGTTCGGTTCGCGGTCGTGGAACTGCTGGAGAGAATTAGCATGCACATGGTAACTAGGCCACCCCTTCAAATTTTTGCGGTCAGTTATAACTAGTCATCAACTATTTCAGGCTGGCCGGCATTTCTTTAGCTCTTTAAACAAATTCCAAAAACTCGCCTTCATCCGTCTACAACAAGAAAAGGCGAACACGGTAGAGAGTCCAAATACCGGTCTGACGATGTCTGGACTTAGTATCGGGGGAGCTGTGACCAAGTCATAATTAGAGTGAGAGATTCGGTGGGTAATTTGCCTTTTCTTGGTGGCCGCGAGTAATGCATCTAGCGGGATTTCAATTGCTCTTTCTCTTAAATATCATCATGGTCACGGAGGTCGTTGTTTGAAATAATGATGAAATTTATTTCTCTTTGATGCCCGGTGTTCTGCTGCCGTAGCGGTACACCTCCTTTACTCGGGTAGTTCACTGCAATGATTTGGCTGCTTGTAAATGATGTAGACACGGAAGAAAATAGCGTTTTGGTTGCTTGGTTGGAGGGGGTTTCCGGGGGGGTGATGTGGTGTCGTATCCGAGACGCGAGATCCTATGAACCGGGACAGCAACCTCGATTAAACGTGTGGTCACGTGTGATGTTTTCCGTGTCAGACCCATTAATGGCTAGGTTAGTCCTTGGTGGGTGGTCAAAGCTTTGATTGTAATCTGGTCTGCTGCCCCACCATCAGTTTTTCCTGACGCCAGCCAGCAAACCTGGAAAAATTGCTTGAGGTCGGTATCCGTCTATCAACATAACAATCTCCCTCGACAGCAACAGAACCGACAGCTCAGAGATCAACATCGACCCCCTCTAGTATATTATTATCATTTACTATTTTTTTTTCTTTTCTGCCCTTCCTCACCCACCACCACCACCGCCGCCACCCTCTTTTAACGGTTGTGCTACCAATCTCGAGCGTGCTTTCTTCCGCTGGGTCCACACACGAGAGCCGTTTAAGCGAAAAAGAAAAGTATACACGGAAAAAGAAAAATTGGGTACCCTTTCGTCACACCTTCGCTCATCAACCTTGGATCCCTCTTCCTTTCCTTCTTTCCTTCCTTCCTTTCCTTTTTTTATTTTACTTAGATCTGCAGTTTTCAACTCGGTTTGCCCCTCGACGCTCTGTTTTATCGCATCTTTTTGCGGGGAACCCCGAGCTAGTGATCCGCGTCCGCCGGACTGCTTGCTATCTGGCAAAGCGGAAGGTGGGGCAAGTTTTCGACCCGGAGAGCACATTAGCTATTCGTATTAAGGGGTTTGCATCCATAGTAACGGGAGAATGGACGCTCAGGTACGCACATCTCTTCCCGATATATTTTCTGATTCTGAAGATAATGAATTGGCTTCTAACGGTTTATTGCATCTAAAGGTAGAGAATGCCGTCCAAATTGCATATAATCCTGGCGCGGATCCGCAAATCAAGAGACAGGTCTGTGTAGGCCCTAGAACCGTATTGGAGCTCTGCTAGTGCACGGGTTATGCTGACTCGAGAATTGTAGGCTATGACTTTTCTACAGCAGGTGAAGCAGTCACCGGATGCCTGGCGGGTCTGTCTCCCTTTGTTCACACGAGATCCACGGGCCGCCGAGATCGTTCGCCACTTTTGCCTTGATGTCCTGAATATCACCGTTCAACGCCGGTTCCATCAAACGGACGACCAGAGTCTCGATTACATTCGAGAGACTCTGATGGATTACATCAGACGGCTATACATTACAGGATCTAACGCCCCTGACCCTCCCGGGATTCAAAACAAGTTGACCCAAACCCTGACATCACTCTTTGTGGGCATGTATACGACAACTTGGGGAGGCTTCTTCGATGATATGCTTACTCTGACTTCTTCCTCTAGCGAGGCTAATGCCCAGGGTAGCCGGGACAATTACTTGGGCGTAGTGTTCTTCTTGCGCATTGTGGCTAGTGTGCACGAAGAGGTTGCGGATGTTCTCGTCCCGCACACTATGGAGGAGGCCCAGAGAAATACTCAAATCAAGGATGTTGCTCGTGAACGTGATGTGAGAAAACTAGTGACGGCCTGGCAGGAAATTCTGGCCCAGTGGAATGGGAGTGATAAAGGCATTATAGAGATGTGCCTGAAAGTTATTGGTCGATGGGTTAGCTGGATTGACATATCGCTGGTTGTCAATGAAGTCTTACTCGGGATGCTGTATAACTTTATACTCGGTGAATCTAGAGTCAGGGACGCTGCCATAGAGACTTTGGCCGATATTGTCGGGAAGAGAATGAAGGGTACGGATAAGCTAGAGCTAATTGTCTTCCTAAAGCTTGGAGAGATTGTGGAGACGTTGGTCAATTCACCTGCATTGCAAGCTCACGGGCAGCCAACATATGACATTGAACTTGCTGAGGGTGTGGGCAAACTGGTTAACAATGTGGCTGCCGATATTTTGAGAATATTGAATGATGTGAGTTGTTCCATAATCCTCTTTATTCATTGCCCCATGTACTAAAGATTGTCACAGGACTCCCTTGATATTCAAATCAAACAACGAGCTGAGGAGCTTTTCCAGCCTTTTGTTCTATTCCTCCTTCGCTTCTTTAGTGACGAATGGGACGATGTCTCGCATGCCGTTTATCCCTCTATGCTCGACCTTCTTAGCTTTCTTAGAAAGGAAAAACGTACTACTGGAACCCTCTCACATGCTCATAATCTTATGCTATCACCTATACTCAATGCGATTGTATTCAAAGCGAAATATGACGAAGATACAACGTGGGGTGGTGAAGACGATGACGAGGCCGATGAGGCCGAGTTTCAAGCACTCCGAAAGCGATTGAAGACTTTGCAAGACACTGTTGCCGCCATTGACGAACAGCTCTATATCAATACATTATCTAGCCTTATCGGTACAACATTTGATAGAGTGGCGGAAGGTGGGGTTGCTGTTGATTGGCGGGAGGTCGATTTAGCAATGTATGAGATGTTCCTCTTTGGAGAATTGGCTATGAGGAGTGGCGGAATGTTCAACAAAGGGCAACCACAAGGGCCGGCAGCAGAAACTCTAATAAGCCTAATGGTCAAAATGATGAATTCTGGTGGGACTCCTAGAGCTCAACCTTGCGATGCTGGTAGTAATGGCTTTATAGGTATCGCGGCCTCTTCACATCCGGCCATCAAACTTCGGTATATGGAAACAGTTGTGAGATATGCGGCATTCTTTGAAGTTCATACTACTTATATACCGAAAGCTCTTGAGAACTTTGTGGGGGGGGTGCATGATAACCATGTACGTGTTCGAAACAGGTCCTGGTATCTCTTCTTTCGATTTGTCAAAACTCTTCGCCAGCACATCGGTGAGGTCGCTCAAGAGGTGCTGGAGGCAATCAGCGATATTCTCGTCATACGGGCCGAGTTGCCGCAGGATATCGGAGATAATGAGATGTCATCAGACGATGCTCAAAGTGAGGATGTTACCTTTGAAAGCCAGTTACATCTCTTTGAGGCAGTTGGCTGCCTCTCATCCATAAAATCCATCGCCCCTGAGAAGCAGGTGCTCTTCGTAACAACAGTCATGACTCCGTTGTTTAGGAATATGGAGAGTAGCTTAGAGGCCGCAAAGAAGGGCGATACCCGATCGGTGTTGCAGGTTCATCACATCATGATGGCTTTAGGTACCTTGGCGAAAGGCTATGCCGATGGGACCCCCGGCCCCAGCGCCTCCACCCCTGCGCCCAACGAATTAGTGGTTCGGGAGTTTGAAAATGCCTCGGAAATTATTTTAGTGTCACTGGAATCTCTCCGCAGTTACCAAAATGTTCGGGATGCTGCCAGACGTTCTTTCTCCAAAATGGTAGTAATTCTGGGGCCGAAGGCTTTGCCTACATTGCCAAGGTGGCTTGAAGGGCTCCTGGCAGAAAATTCAACAACTGAAGAGATTTTAGTATTCCTGAGACTTTTAAAACAAATTGTTCATGGATTTAAGGTATCTATTCATAAATACTAGTGTAACGACTTTGAAAGGTGCTAACTTTAGGCATAGTCAGAATTTTATGACATTCTGAACTCTCTGCTTGCCGCACTTTTGGAAAAAGTATATGGCTCCCTAGGACGAGAAACAACTGGAACCGACGATGAAATACAAGCGGCGGAGTTGCGGAAAGAATACCTCGACTTTCTACTTGTTATTTTGAACAATGACCTTGGGCTTGTGCTTGTCAGCGAAGGTACTGCTCGTGCGGGCTTTTATTCTTCGTTCGCTAACTTAATTTAGCCAACCAACCTATCTTCGAACAGCTTATAGGCACAGTTCAACATTTTGCCAAAGAGGTTAACGACCTCCCGACTTCTAAACTCGCGTTTTCCGTTATGGGAAAAATGTCAATTGTCTGGGGGCCCGCTACCGACTCCGAAAAGGAGCAAATAAACGGCAGTTTGAAGGAGCAGCCACTTCCTGGGTTCGAGACGCTTATGATTGAGCGTTTCTCGTGCCTTTGCTGGGAGGTTCCAGCTATGCCCGATTTCCATCCAAAGGATGCTCAAGCAAAGATGGTTCTTGGCGAGATTGCCGCCCTACAGAACATCCTTTACAGTAAACTTGGTGAAAACTTTATTCAATATTTAGGAACCGTTTACTTTCCATCTGTTAATCTTCCTCAAGGCCCTGCCGAGGAGTACCTGGTAGCGCTCCGGCAGATGGAATTCAAACCCTTTAGGAGCTACTTTCAGGTGGGCATTCATGTGCATGTACGTTACCAGGAAATAATTTTTACTAATGTGCGGAAACCGCAGAAATTTATACAAGGAGTCAGTGGCAGATAGTCAACTCCTCTTCCCCCTTGCTATTTAAGGCAGGCTGGGTGTTTTCGAATTGCCTAATCATTAATCCTTTCTTTCCTGCGTGCGAATCTGCCTGCCAATTAGCTCTCGGCCACCTTTATACCTGTTAAATTTCTGTCCCAGTGTCCAGCTGGTGTCTTGCGATGATTTTTCATTCTTCCTTCTGTAGTTTCAAAAATTTGCTGGGTACAGCTAGACGCGTACCCAATGACTATTATTTTGTTTCATTTTTTTTTAAACAAAAGAAAAAGAAGTGGACAAAAAGGTTTTATTATCCCTCTTCTCGCTGCTCCCATTTCTCCCTTTCTTCCTTTCTACATCTATTTTAAACTGGGGCTTTGTTACCTTTTTTTTTTTTTTTGTTTGCAGAGTTTGGAATAGATTTTGGGAAGACTATCACGTTTAATTTTCTAGTATTTTTTTTTCTTTTTTTCTCTCCTTGGTAGTTTCGATTTTCTGTGTATATTGTGGTATGGGTGCTGAAAATTCGGGTGAATGGTTGGTGTTTCTAACTTGGGGACTTTATGGTTGAGTGGGACTGGACGGATGGTGGATTTAGAGGGTGAATGTTAGTTACCGGTAAAATACAAGTATTCCCGAACGTGGGTTGTGTGAATTCATTAGTTTTTCCGGCCAGCCGCGACCCGAAGTGCATATCTTTCTGGGAAACATGTATGAAACATGTTTCACAAAAGTCTTGCATAACAGGTCTTGTAAGCCACATCATGTCAACACCTCAAGAGGCCTTTCGTCAGTGCCATAAACAAATATCAATATTGGTCTCAAATGGTACATCATCAATACCAAGGAAGCAGGTATCATACATTTATGTATCAAGAATATGGCTTAAAGGTAACAAAAACAAAACAAAACAGAAAAATAGAGTTCTACAAGTGATGGTCTAATAATACCCAACAAGGGGTATTGCTATTCTACTCTTGTGATCAGAACACAATACTCAAGTAAGATATCTCATTTCACTATTGGCATAATACCAGAAATTTCCCAAACCAGTTCTATATAAAATAAAAGTTTGCACCGGACTTAGACACCTATATAGGAGAACATTAACATATAGTATTTTTTATTCTTTACTTTACTTTACATCTACAATGTTGTATGTTTATTCAGATGTAAAATCAAGGGGTGTATATCAAAAAACTATTTAGAATTTATGACTTATTATATACCTATGGTATATAGAATATATAGCAAATATTGATAGGACTGTACTACTGAGACTATAGTATGATGAAGATTGGAATAATTTTCTAACCAACTACAAAAAGAATGACTTCTGAACTACTAGTAAGTTTATAAAAATAAGGCTCCAATATATAAGATATTAGCTGACCCAAGTATATTGGTACAGGTAGGTAAGATGAGAATGGAGTACTTCTTTTCTCTGAATATTGAAAATGCTTCTATATTCTACCCTTTGAGTAGAACTTTAAGTAAGAAGCCAGGGTTGGTATTAATACAATAGATTTAGAGATAGTTATAATAATATTAAAAAAAAATACTGTATTAATAATAAATTAATAAATTAATAGCAGATCATGACTAGATTTTGTATTTGCTTTTCAGAAATAATATATAAATTAATATTGAAGTTCTTTTATACCTATTCTATATATGTATTAGAGCTATTCTTATATCTAATAATCTTAAAGAGATTTTGAGGTAAGCATCAGCAGTTCTCATACAGAGATTAGAATTTTTTTAAAAAGTTAAAGATAATAGTAATCAGACTTATAATTAGCCTGAGGCTGTTGTAAGATAGTTGGAGGTTATACAAATTTAAACAAGTACTAGTAGGTAGTAGAACTAACTTGGTCAGGTTCAAGTTTTTCTATTTGAATTGTATTTACTTCTATTACAGAATAATAGAATAACAACTTGCTAGATAGTAACTTTCTTGCTCTATCTTAATACTAAAGAAGGCTATAGCAGTATGTGGTACAAAAGATTAGTACTCTAAGGAATAAGAAGAAGGATGTCGGTATTTTTGAGAAATATTTAGTTACTAGTATAGATTAATAATTTTATTTTTTGTTGAAAGTTCAACCTGTTTTTTTTTTTTTTTGAGGTAGGCAAAGAACTAAATACAAGTGTAATACTAATACCTCTTAAGGATCTCCCCTATCACTCAGGCTTAGACTATTGCTATTTATACTACTCTAGTATAGTGGACCTTTAAAAAAGAGAGTAGGTTAAATATGATAGAATAAAGGTGTTAGGGAAAGAAATTGGAAAATTGAGATTAGATTTATTTGATAGACTGAAGACAAGGGTTAGGAAGTTGAGTGATAGATTGGAACAGTTAGTAGATAGTACAGTAGAGGTGAGCAGAAAGGTCAAGAGGAGGAAGCTGTAGGTAAATAGTTTTTGTTTAAAATAAATAAATAAATCAAATCCAGGAACATTAATGTAATAATTAGCACTAAGCTTAATAACTGGGAATCTGGCCTTAGCTAGCTGGCAACCTAGAAAATCAAAGCTTACCAATTATGACCTTTAAAGCATTCACAGAATTTCTTCTCTTAACATATATACCCCTGCATGTGCACATGGCCTATGAACTTCACCCCCACACCTCTCAAGTCCTGTTCACGGACTAGCCTTGGCACTCCAGTACTTTAGGACTTCCGGGTCTATTCGCGAGTACTCTGTAGGTTAGCATATATATGCACGCAGTTGATGCATGCAGGAACACATACGTGGCTTGCTAAACACGGGTCGCTACTGCACTGTACTAGAGGCGTGCACGCTATAGGTAAATTCACTATACTGGAAACCTCATCCCCAGCTGCTCCTAGATGCCGGTAGCCTATCGGCCCGCGAACCGCAATATGAAGCCATAAATTTAGCGAATTGGTTCATCTGTGGGCCAGGTAAATATGCTGCATTGCTTTGATTACATACCTCTGGTACTCTCGGGGCCGCTTTGAGTTCATAGGGTATCACTCGCTCGGGGTATTTGCCCGAAAAGTGGGTTCCTTTATATGCATGGAAGCTGTATGGCCTTGAGCTAATTACACATCGATGTCTCTCCTACAGCATTCCCAGAGGGCGCTAATGGCACACAGGGTGAGAGGTTTTGTGGTGATTGCTCTGTACTTTAGCGTCCCACCAAAGCATACTGACCTGCATTAAGAGCACGTATTCAGAGGTCGGTAGCGTGACATGTGGCACACGCACACGAACTCGGAAAGTTTGATCACGAGCATATAAAGGCCATCGTTTTCCCCTTTCAGCGGACTGCGTGGTTCCCGCTGGACCTCGCTTCAACCCCTCGACATGTTTTCCGCCAACATGCAGTATTGGCTGCAAACATTATCATGCCCAACCTGCTGGTTTTATTGTGGGATTGTGTCGACATACTGCAGCTCCATGGGAGCCAACACCCTCCCGAGAGATACCGGAAACAGCGGATATGCCTCCAGAAACAACTCAGCATGCAGGATGCCTTCTGTCCAAAATTTTCACATTGAAACCCGGTTGCAGTTGCTTCGTTGTTTGATACTTCTCCCTGCCTCTAATTCGTTATTCTACTAACTATATGGCTAGACCTTTTCAGCCGGACAGCGTTGTCTATGGAATCCTCTGGCACTACGTGGCATCTGGCAGCACTCAATTTTTCAAACCGGCAATGGATTTGTCGTAACTGGAATGGGTTGGTGTCCCTACGTGCAGGACTTGACAAGAGAAAATAATGGTGGTGCGAGAGCCAAACTTCAGGGATCGCACAAGAAACCCAAACCACTGTCCCGGTACCGCAAGGGGGAGGAAAAAATCCACTCGCGTACAGTACGTGATTTTACCGGCTGGTTGCAGCTGATCTATTGTGCTTGGGCTCACTTGTATCCACTTACTACATCCCCTCATAGAAACTAATAGGGATCATAGCTCTGAGCTCTGAGAAGGAGATAGGAAATAGCTTGAATTTGGCCGAGCCTTCAAGTCTACCCCATAAGGCTGTAGATGAAGTGGCTGCATTGGGTCGGGTATCTATCTATGGGCGATCAATGCGTTGTGTATTTACCAACACATCAGAACCACCAGTTACTCAATCTTGAGAAGATTCAGGATTCATAAAGATATGCTCCCTCCTTGATCCCGCGCCCCTCTTTCCCTTCCCGAGATGAACGGTAGGGAGGTGGGGGGGTAACCCGCCTAGTGACCGGGTTAGAAAAGCTAACTATACTGTCGACTTATGCACGCTATAGATATGGCAGATCATTGATTTCATTGACTTCGTGATCCCTCCGATACTCCCAAATACTCCGTCTTGACGATCAGTATAAACTAGTCCCAAGGGCCTGCTGAGTCGATCGGGGAATTTAGCATTTATACTCACAAGAAGTGGATAATCTTTGGCAAACACAGGGGGTAAACCTACCAAAAACAAAAAGCTAGTCTAAAGATACAAATCATATCGGATTCAGCAGGAAACGGATACTAAAAAATCTCCTCTTATCGATGTCGACGTGATGAATAGTCCTCGATTCGTCGACCCTCAACGAGCAGAGGTTTTCTTGGTCCAATTTTCGGTCACCGTTACTACTGGCGGGGCCTACAATCAACCAACACCGCCTAATGATTAGTTTCCTTTTTGCTCTATCATTTATTGCCAAACAAAAAGACACGAATGGAGATGGCACGAAAAGGGAATGCGTCACTTGTGGGAGGTAGAGGAGAATGGCAACAAGCGCGGGTTCTTTTGTTCCGTCTCTCTTTACGCTTTTTGATGGTTTGGTGGTTCCTATATCGTCTCTTGATAATCCACGTAATCTCCTCATCTTTACCATCAAGCGCGGGAAATTTTTCAATAAGTTTTCTTTTCAATTCGGCCAGATTTTCTTCGGGCAGAGCGGTGAACCCCTCGTAACCGCCAGCAAATGCCGCCCAATCAACGTTCTTTCGCAAAAATTCCTAAACAACGCAACACATTCACTCAAATCAGTCCGAGCCGTTTATCGCAACCTCTTGATCTCGAGAGGAGAGGGGGAGAGTCTTGGTGATGGGTGTTCTCTTTATGTTGGAAGAAGGATGCCGGTAAAGAAAAAATGGCTTTACTGACACGAATTTGAGAGTATACGCCTTCGGATATGCCTAAACGCTTCAGGATCTGTTCTTTCGAGTTGGCCATGAGGGGTTCGCGAGTCTGTGCACACAGGGGGGGAGCAAAAAACAAATCTCGAGGGGGAAATCCCTAGTCTAAAAGGCCGGAGAGAGGAGTAGGATTCACCAGACATCCTCCACCCCCCCTCTTTTCTTTCAACTCAAGCCCCAACCCCCCCCCCGGGGGCAGTGGATACTGAAGCGCGGGGTCACCTCCCATCTCCTCAGCTGCCGCCAAGGGGTCTCGTGATGGGTTAGTCGCAATCGCAACCCTCTCCTCCAAAAGGATGTGTTTTGTGAGTGGGTGAAACGAACGAGATCGAGAATCGAGGAATGAGGCTTTGATCTCTGTCGAAGAAAAAAACACACCTAAGCGCAAGGGGATCTGCAACCGAATGTGGACTAGCCGAAAGGGGACTGGGGGGGTAGGGTGAGAGGGGCAATGAGGAAGAGCAGGGGGTCCGAACGAGTGAGAAGTCGTGACTCCAGTTATCCTTTCCTGGATTCTCTTTCTCCCTCAATGACATACAATAACCCACAGCACTTGCACAATGCGTGTACCACTCCCAACTCTGTGCGCACAAATGTTGGGTAGGGAAGAAAAAAGGAGAGAAGAGAAAAAGTAAAGGAAAAAAGTCACCCCAAATACAACGTGACCAATAAACAACAATTCAGCAACGTTTTTATTTTGTTTTTCTTATTTTTCGTTTCGTTTTTTATTTTTATTTCGGGGGGCCGGGGAGAAAAAAAAGCCCTTGCGATCCTAACTCTCCAAAGGAAAGCCATGAAAATTAATCAATGGGGTCGAAATTGGACGAGGGGGGTGTCGGAAGGGTTGAGTGTGGATGCAGACTGTGCAGTACGGTAGCTAAACTACAAAATTGGTGATCCCTGGTTGCTTTGCTGTGTGTGCAGTTCCGAGGGGTTGTCTTTCTTTTCCTTCCTTCTTGCCCCCAGCCCGTCCGTCTGTCCGATGATTGACTGACCGATTGAGCTGAGCAGAGCAATTGGCTTGCTTACCTGCTTGCCCGCTCGCGCCTCATAACATACAGGTACACCGTACACATGATACAGACATAACCTACCGTACCTTTACCGTAGGGCGGGATAATGTTGATGACGATGATGAAGATGGGGGGAGGGGACCCTGGCGGGCTTGATTCCCGCATCATACAAGTCGCCCATTCAAGCCTTGAGGCATTATTATTATATTCCCTTCCCATCTGTCCACTCGACTCCATTCCCTTCCCTTCCCTTCCCTTCCTTACCTTTCCCTTCCTTCCTTCCTTCTTTTTACAGCGCAGCACAGGGCCCGGGGAACGGATCCCCCTACCCTACGGAAAATTTTCTCGGTACTTGAGCCTGCCAGTTTACCGCACTTGTGGCATGGTGCCACTAAGCCGTGCGTACGTGCGTACGTACAAGTACTGTACCATAAGTCGATCAAAATCATCGCCATCATCACGCTCCTTGTCCCGGAAGTTGTAGATTGTAGATGTGAAGAAAATGAGGGAAAAAAAAAAAGAAAAAAGAAAAAAGAAAAAGAAAGGAAGAAAGGAAGCGTGCTGAGTGGGGTATGACCGTCGCCTCGTAGCTTAACTTATTGTACGAGTACAAGTATGGAATACGTTACCGTTATTACCGTATTGTAACCGTTCCGGGTTACTAATTCTGGCTGATGGGTGCAGTGGGTAAGGCGGGTGTTGTGACGGGGGTGGCAGCGATCGAGGTAATTTATCGGCGATAAGTTAGAGTTGGGTTACGGTGTTCATTCTTGACATTTGTCGTTCGCCAGTGTGAGTTTTGTGGGGGTGGTTTGCATTCTGGATTGGTGTGGGAAGTTTCTTGCGGGCTGGCTTCCAGAATTGTGCCTGAGGGGGAAAGAGGTTTTACTTTTATCTCATTTTATTCATTTATGGTAGTTTTTTATGGGAGGTTTGAATGGTCATGATTGCAGGAGAAGGGGACGGGGAAAAGTCTAATTTATATGCTTGGTACCAATTTTTGAACCAGAAAGAGTCCGGAAGCCAATGGAAGAGGGAGGAATGGGGGAGAGGGAGTATTCTTTCATTTTCCATCTTCATTTTTTTCCCTTTCGATCTCAGACACTCCCGGAAGACCTCGAATTCGAAATCTGCAATACGAGGATATCCTCAGCGCCAATTTCCTCGAGCCTATCCATGACCGTAGCGATACTGCTCTTCTCCACCATGGCCGAGACGGAGACCCAGCCAGCCTCCTCCAACTGCATGATGCTGGGCGCGCGCTTGCCCGGAGTGACCTTCGTTGCGGCGGGTAGTTTGTCGCGTGAGATGTTGTAGGTGCACAGCACGTACTTTTTGGCAACGATGACGCCCCGGATGCGCGACTCGATGGTCTTCACGAGGGCAGGGTTGGAGGGATGTTTGGATGTTATCAGGACGGCACCTGTGGTCAGGATTGTGGCGATGGGCTTTAGGCCGGCAGCTCTCATGGTCTCACCGGATTCTGATTTTTCAGACATCGTTAGTTAGTTGATTGCGGTACCTGGAGGGGGAGCTAAGTACCGACTAAGTCGACGATCCCATCGGCGACCCCGAGAGCGCAGGCAGCCTCGACACTTCCACCAACATACTTTATCCTAGTAACTATACCGTCCACCTCTCCAGTCCTGGAAACCGCTCTGGGGATCGTCTTCAGAGCGTTCAAGTTTAACTCTCCGTTTTCCTTCTTCTCCCTCTCCCCCGCATCACTCCCAATCTCATCTCCCTCCTGCTCCTCCACCCTGACGAAATACTCACTCGCCAGCAGCGTGAAGCTCGTGACGATGTTCTTCCCGATCAGTTCCCTGGGCTCCTGGATCGGGCCCTTCTCCGGGACCTGCACTTGCAGCTTGCACTTCCCGAAGTCCAATTCCATCAGTTCCTTCACGTCCGCTTGCGACTCCGCAACCTGGTCTTGCCCGGTTATGCCTAGGTCCACACGGCCCTCGCCGACGAAGACGGGGATGTCGGCTGCTGGGAGGAAGACGAGCGCTATGGGTTGGTTGATGCATAGGGCTATGTCTAGACGGTTGTGGCGGTGGAATTGGATATCGGCGCCGTGAAGCAGGTCGAGGCATTTCTCGTGGAGGCGGCCTTCTGTAGTGGGGTCGTAAGTTACTCATCAGCGGGAAAGAAGAAAGAGGGGGGGGAACTCTTGGGAACGGCAAAGAGAAGGCGGTTATTGAGGCTGAGTGATTGGGGGTTGAAATGTTAGCAGTTGAGGTCATCTGGTGGAAAAGGGTGGAGGGAAGCCAACTGATTGACGAGATCCATAGTGTGATCTTCAATGATTATTGTTATTTTTTCTTTTTCCCTTTCCCTTCTTCCTTTCTTTTTTTTTTTTGCGGTTCCTTTTCTTTCCGTTAAGAGAAGATCGGACGGAGGAAGGCGTATGTATGCGTGGGATGATGTATGAGAGGGAAAGGGGTTGTTTGAGTAACAAGCGGAGCGGGTAGGTGAGGAGGGGCTGATAACTGGTTGATATGGATGATAGGGTCAGATTGATAAATTCGATTAGACTCTACTCGAGTACAGTCACACCCCGCTATCCTGGATCTCGATAATCCGGATACCACGCTGTCCCGTATGAATCTCGGTGAATGCTTCCTGTTGTTTGTTAGCAGCGAATATATATATTTATCGGTGAACTCTGAATTTCTTTCCACCAAAACCTCACCCGCTGTCCCGGATCCCTCGCTGTACCGGACAAATTCTGAGGATTTTGGCTGTCCGGGGTGGCGAGGTGCGACTGTACTGTATCACGCCTTGCACCCTACCGCGAACCACGGTGGGGTCACATACAGCCGTCGCGGCAAGGGCTTAAAACAACGGTGGGAGGAAAAGAAGGAGATGGAGGAGGATAGGGAGAAAAGGGTTTGTTTGTCCGTAACCCAGAATACGGTACCGGTAGGGTACGAGTACTTTGAAGATTGAGGTTAGGTCAATCTAGGGACTAGAGTTTCCTTTTATCCCAACTTTCCTTCACCCATCCAAACTCTGTTCCTCAGTTGACCTTGTTCGGCTGCTTGGAGAGAGAATTCTGCGTATACCTAACATGCGTATAACCAGTACCGGTATAGTCCAGTCCAGTCCAACGCCACTAAAACTTACCAAATCACCCTTCTCTTCGAGTCAGCTGTGCTCATCCCGGACTGTACTCGTAGATCCTCATTCTAAGGGGGAAAGAGACAAGCAAAGAACGAGGGAGCCCTGCCCGCCCATCCATCCACTTATCGAAAACAAATCGAAAAACGAATCAAGGGTTAGGGTACGGTACCGGTAGTCGACCCGGAGCCCCCCTCATCTCCATGGGATGACTGACAACTACCGTACCGAAATCAAGTACACCCCCTCATCGATATAGTACGGCACAAACACGAGTATAATACAGCATTGTAGTCCAGTACTCGTACCTTGGACTTGCTCCGTACTGTATCATTCCTAGTACAGCACAGTCTCACCAATCATATCTTTAAGATCCGCCATGCCTGGCATGCCATACCCAGTCCATGCGAGCGATGAGATGTGCCACCGTACCTCTCCAATCAGTCGTCACCACAAAACTTACATGAGTACTGTACGGTACATAGGTGCCATACCACCGTACCGCACAACACTGTACTCGAGTACGGTACCGTACTTATCGTGCCTTACGTGACGTGATGTGACATGGACTCTATACGCTATTGGCATCGGGAATCAACTGTCATTCATCGCCTTAAATCCAGGAACTCCCCGAGCGGACCACACATACACACACATGCCGTGTGTTGTGGGTGGGTGGGTGCGGGCTCGTTCGGAATACTGGTAGACCTACTGTACAGTACCTGTTCCTGCCGACCGTGCGGTGCCGTAGCGGAGCGGAGGGTATGACGACTTACGGTATACTATTGCCGAGAAGTATGATACCGTCACTTATTCCACTCCCACCCGTCCTCAAGGATTGTGGTGAAAGTGAGTGGATGTGCGTGTGTGAGTGGGGTGATGTTGTATGAAGAGATGGGAGACCGGGCCGGATTGTGAGTGGGACTGAGAAGTGGGTGGGAATGTGGTTGCGATCCCGATCTGTTGCCTGTGTGTACCGCATTTTGCTTTTTGCTCTGCCCTTCCGAGCTGGTACTCGTACTGTGCGTTTCGTTGGGCGGGTCTAGGTGCTTACCGGTACTTCGGAGAAAGGGTTGAATGGATGAGTGTGCTCGAGTGGGACTCGGGTGTTGCCGGACGGAGCGGGTCCAGTGAGGGAGGTGTGTGCTCCGGCCTTCGACCCCCGCGCTCCAATTCCTCCCCACGATCATACTATCATACCTCAGCTTCCAATCCGTTCCGATAGGAGAGAAGGGCTCAACCCTTCCTTCCTTCCTGCCCTCCCCCCCCTTCTTGCAATTCGATGCTATCCAATCCCTTATCGATAGCGGATAGATACCGGTCGATAGACCAGCTCTGCTAAATTTATGATGAATACGTTTTTACAAACGGCACGTTACGCCACCATGCATTCTGCCCTGCCCTGCCCTGCCTTGTACTACAACTGAAAGCAAGGTAGTGTGCTTCCAGCAGTAATAAAAAAAACCGATTACCCAAATTTCCGATTCCCAATTTTCACGAGTGAGAAGGGCAAAGAAAAAGAAAAGGAAGAGGGAAAAAAAGAAAAAGAGTGGGATATGCTTCGGCCGGTTGGGTCGGCTGAGCATGAGGGAATTGCTATTGGGAGCTTTTGATGCCAAAACGCACTTCTCTACAACCCCCCCCTTTCCCCCTCCCTTATCCCCGGAGGGCAGGGAGGAGGGGGACGGTGTAACCGTGGTTGAAGTGAGGTGCCATCTTGTACACTTACGCCTGAGCGCTTTCTTGTCTCGCCGGTCATTGACAGTGGTCGTCGACCTGCTTGTGCTGGTTGGGATCGATCAACGGTGGGTGAATGACCAGGGAGCTGGAGCATGGGGCATGATGAAATTACCATGCCGTAAGTTAGCCCAATTGGGCGAGGCCAGAGCGAAGACCGGAAGGTGGGAACCCCACCCTCCGCCCGTGTTTTTTTTTTAGATCCCGTTTGTCTGCCTGTTTGATGTTACCAGTGGTGGGGATCACGATTCATGAGGGAGGAGGCTTTGTAATTGGATTGAAGTAAGAAGATGGGCGATAAGTGCTAATAATGAACGAAGGAAGACAGAGTGCCGGTATTCCAAACCGAGCTTGCTAGAGCTCTACCTCAACTTACCTAACTGGCGGTAATATCACGGGTGGTCGGCAGGTTTTCGGGGGCGAGCGAGTGGGTGAGGCTGGTGGCACAGTGCTCGTACCGTGCCTTGGGTGGGTTCGGAAGCGCTGTATGGGTGCAAATGTCCGGTTTGGTTAGTTGAGCTTTTCATATTGGTCGACGGGGGGAATCGGAGGTGGCCCGCTATGCTCGTAGCATGGCTCATCCGCGGTGGAGGTATGTATGACACCCTACAGTACCGCATGCTGTGTGGGTCAGGCACTGTACTCGAGTACTCTAGTACAGCATGGTACGTACCTCGTACCTGGATGCTACGCGTTGTGTCGTATTATTTCCGAAATGCGCGTGCTTGTTTGGTTGGTTTGTGATACGAGCATGTTGGTGCATTAAACGGGAGTACGGGCTGGCGAAATATTGTAGCCTGCTTTGTTGCTTGTAGTACCGCCGTACCGGTGAAGCAGGGTGGCATGGTAAGGTAGATCAGCACACGGGAGGGGCTTAACTTAGGCCCCCAGGCCAGCACTCTCGTACCGCACCAGACCAGGATGCTCCGAAGGGGTCGAGTTTTGCTACCGTAACCCCTTGATAGAGTTCTTACCGTGCCGTATTATGTATAGTGAAGTAGCCTATTCTATCCATTCCCTCTTCACAAGGTTCTGTCAATAATCTAATACAGCAACAGATAAGGCTCCACCCAACTTCTCGTGCGCAGCTTCCCCCCGGCTATCCCAGCTGCTGGGTGATTTGGTTAACGCCATGGCCACTTTATTTATCCCGTCCCACACGTGCAGTATTCTGCTATACACAGTGCTATTTCCCAATACCGAAAGTGTCATATTGGAGAACCCACTCTTCCACCATCGATTAGTTAGTATAGTCTAATGACCACAAGTCGGCCTAGTCTTCTAGGGTTGTAATTCCTCGGTGATCCCACCTCGCGAGGCTGGGCTTCGTGCTTGGTCACGAAGCGAGTGAGATGACGTTGTGAGCAAGGAGAAGGTTCAGTCTAGTATACCTTATTCAAGATCTATAAAACTATCATAGCCTTGTCGTGATTCAGCCAGATGTAACCACTGGCGCGGTAATTGATTTGACATTGGAGACTCATGAAGGCTCCAATACCGTATGTAGCTGCCGAGGGTGTGTTCCGCGAATCTGGGGGATCAGGGCTCGGTTCTCGCAAGGCTCCCTCTTTCTCTGCACGTGGTCACCCGCGACCTTGCGCTACCCTATGCCGTCTCGTTGGAATAAGGCTGTAGAGATGCTCATTGCAGGGCAGCTGTGGTAACTCACAATCGTGAAAATAAGGACTTTGTAGGAGCATGAATTCGATATATTATCATCGTTCACTTCGCTGGGGATCGTCAGTTTGATAGCCCATCACTCGGAGTGTTCGGATTGGGATTGCACTTTTTTAAAGTCTGTGCTCGGAAAGCCCCCGGCTCTGTCCGGTGAAGGAGTTGGAAGAAGCCTTGGTAAATTCTTGGTCGCTGGTCAGCCTCCTTGACTAATACCCCATGCTGTGGTGATGATCGGCTGTCTGCTCCTCCATCTGTTATTTTCCACCTTTTGTTTGCTATTCGTTAGTTTTGGTTGAGTTAGATCACTTTGGTTCTCTCACCTAATGGCGAGCTCATACGGTTGTGTTATTCGACTCCTGAGAGGGGGGGCTGGCCCAGGGTGATTGTGCGGAGCGCTTCCGCGAAGGTGGAAATTTTTTTGAGTGGCCTATTTTTGAGGCCAATGATATAGTGAAATTTTGGCCCCTTGCTTTCGGCGCATGTTTGCCGGAATAGAGGATAATTCAGGTCAAGTTAATTTGATAGATGTCGTGGAACCGGTGGGAGTATTTGTCGAATGGGAAATACACCCCGAGACCCGGCCGCCAGCCGGCCCGACTCCAACAACGGATGGGGGGGTAGATATTAGCAGAAACCCAGATTCACCAGAAGTCCTGGGAAAATCGTGATCGAACTCCTCAAATCACCCGTAGTTGGTCTTCCCCTTCTCCAGCTGCATCGGTGTTCCGCACATTTCCTCTAGGACAAGAGGCAAACTTGCTCATTACGCAATCCTCCTCTTCATCGTGCTCCACTGTAGACCGCAGTAGGACTGAACAAACTGCACAGCCCTACAAAGGAAATTCCCCTCGGAAGGATAGCAACACGCTCAATACGCTTATCGCAATAATGGGGAACCGACGCGATACTTCCTGATGCATTTCACTATGATGGCAGTTTAGCTACTCTTAGGCTGGTGGGGGTATGTTCCCGCGGCCACGCAGGTCATTCAATTGTTTGATGTTCCTCTCCCGAGAGTCTCCGGATAGAGTGCGAGTGATTTTTGGTTGGGTTGGGTTGTGTCATTTAGTCCGTTAACCGGTGCAGTGAAGGGGATGCAGGTAGGTTACTCTCCTCTTTGTTTAGCAAGTGGGGAGAGTAGAGCGAAGAAGCTAAGCCTACCCGTTTCGCTGCTCCTGTTATCTTCCGAAGTCGTATAGGATACGGAGAACGTTGGGGAATTTGCATGCACTGGGAGCATCTCAATGGGAAAGGGGGGAGGGGTAGCTTGTGATGCTCTCGAGCTGCGATGCTTCAACCTCTGGATTCTTCTTCTATTGCTATCTAGACGGGGATGGGAGGTGTCGATGGCTCCTCTCCTGCGCCCTCCTCACCAAAGGAATGGCGCCGAAAAGATAGGACTTACTAGGCGATACAGCTGTAGCATTGTCGTCGAGGCCTAACTTCGTTTTCATCTAAGCTTCAACCTTCAACCTGGCGTATCATAGGGCAGATGGCTCGCCATAATATACCTATCGCAGTTCGCTCCCATGCGTGTGAATACAACCACACGCGCACACCGCCGCTGCCAGAATGATACATTCTCCCATTTCAATTTATATCCGCGCAATTATAAATATAAACCCATTTCTTTTAAACTCC